GCCAAAGCTGCCCCAAATGTATAGACTAGCATGTATTTGTTCTCTTGTAACAGATGCGAATGGACTTTTAAATGATTGCATTTTTTCCCAAAATGCTTATACATTTAAAAAATAAATTTAAAGTGAATGTTGAAATTGGATTACAATTTTCAATATTGAAAGCCATTTGATACAAAAAGCGGTGGAATTTGAATAGGGCCTGCAGTCTGGTTGCTAATGTTGGATCAGTGTCAGATGCCTGTTTTGATAGTGTACTATAGTGATGAACAGTGTTGCTTTGGGGTGGACATTGGGTAAAGGGTGCATGAGACTCTTCTGTACTATTTTTGCAGTTTACTCTGAGCCTGTAAGTATTTCAGAATTTAAAAGTGTTTTAAAAAAAAGTTATTTGAAAATGATCATCTCCTACTTAATTATTAGGAGGGAATACAGCCAGATTAATAGAGTGGTGTGTATACCACACTTTTAAAGTGGATTTCCATCAATCTTAAAAAAAAAAAAAGCATCCTTCTTCCCTTGCCACTGAGTCTGTATCCTCCACACTCAGTGTCACCTAATATGACACGGCTGAAATTTTGGAAGGAAAACACGGCCAATGGCAAGTCAAGGAGAGCTCTCTTTCGGGAAATCTATTTTAGTTGCTGCTTAATTACCTAATAAGAAAATGATGCTGAAATCCAAAAGTTCAGTCTAGAGTCAGCTGATACAGAAAAATGTCAATGAATGATGCAGCATATTTTTCTCAAACATTCCTACGCTCAAAACATTTAGTAATTTGACCAAAGCAGTTTCCACATGCCATGAGATCATAATGGCCACACTGACAAATCCAAGTTCCCCAAACCCAGTGGGACGATGCAGTTCTTCTACAGGAGGAAAGATAAAGGAGTACAGATAATTTGAAAAGGATAAACCTTTGATCCATTCACTTCTCTGTGTGTAAAGTAAATAGTGGTCATGGAATACAGTCCTCTGTCCCCTTGGATTTTACAGTGTGCTGTGAATGACTGCCTTGTTCTTAGATAAGATTGATGGTGGTTTTGCTCTTTATCACTTGGAGAAATGCGACAGAATTCCCTGAGCCAGCCATCTGTCTTCATTGTAATTGGCAAAAGAGTGACTGTCTCGTGTGTTTTGACTAGAAATGGATTGGTGGGGTTGATCGCATCTATCAGACACCTGCAAAGGTGAGCTGAGCTCAGAACAATGCTTTAGGAAATGTTTTAACGTGTGTTAATAGAATTCCATTTTTTAAAAAATTCCGCTTACTCCACCGGGACTGTAAGGTCCTGTGCATTCAGTTTGGCATATCATTTTATGCCTGGGCTGACCAGGGGGACTCTCTGCTTCCCAGACATCACTCTGTCTGACCTGCTTTTCTGGCTCTTCCTCCAGGGTTATCAATGCTGGGAAGAGCACACACAATGAAGACCAAGCCAGCTGTGAGGTGCTCACCGTGAAGAAGAAAGCAGGGGCCATTACCTCAACTCCAAACAGGAACTCAGCTAAGAGACGGTCCTCCCTTCCCAACGGGGAGGGGCTGCAGCTGAAGGAGAACTCGGTAAGACCCTCCTCCCTCCCCTGCTGTGACTCTGCCCCTCCTCCCCTTGCCTGTCCTTTCGAGTTGCCCCATTGGAGCCTCTGCTTGATGCTCTTCCAAATTAATACCTGTTTCAATTGACCCAAAGCCCTCGCAGCCTGCGGGGCGGCCCTGCAGACTGAACGCCTTGTTGACAAACCACAAAGCATTGCTCCTCTCACTCGTGTCTGGAGAGTAAACAGACATCCTCAGAAAGTTTTGAAGAAGTTCTCAGAAAAGTATAGCAAATCATCAGGGCTCTGTCCATCAGCAGATTATTTCGGCCTCCAGAGAAGAGAAATTGAATAGAACGGCCCAAATGTGACTACTTATTCTAACGGTCTTGAGGATGTATGTAAATTTTTACAGGATTGTAAAGAATCTAGTCATCTCTTCTTAGTTGAAGTCATAGTGTCTTGTTGCATTTATGCTTAGGGATTAAGAGTACTAATTAGTTTTGTTAGTGTTAGTTCAGCTCAGGGTTAGAAAACACCGTGACCTGCGGAAACTCATCAGTTGTTCATGTTTCCAGGACTGAAAGGAAGCATTGACTAGGCTTTTCCCAAAACGCCAGAGTCAGGGACCCAGATGGGCAGGATGAAGTAGTCGTAGTTCAGTGCGCAGGGTCTGGGGTAAGATGCTTCAGAATGGTCCATTGCTTAAAGCTGTTTAATTTTGGTATATTTATATACTCCCTGAGCCTCAATTTTCTTTCCATGATAAGGAGTAATAGTAGCAGTAACTGCTAAGTACAATGGAAGAGGCGAGTTGGAAGTATGAAGTCCAATAGTCCACAGAAAGCCTTGAGCCGGTGGCATTAGAGAATCCTTAATCAGTGTTAGCGATTATTATCCTCAAGTCAGCCCCCCTTTTGTTGTTCTCTGTGGATAATGTCCACTGAATTTTTTATGTTCATTCATTTGTAAATTGGAGATCACACAATTGCTTTCATACCTTCTTGACGGAATTATTTTCAGGATTGAGTTATTATGAGAAAGGGCTCAGAAAATGTGAGACATTAATGATAATTGCATGTGGGTCCCCGTGGCTTAATGTTGCTCTTTCCCCTGATAGTTCTCCTCTGCCACTGGGATATCGAGTGGTTTCTGTAAAAACACGTCCGTGTTGACATGTGGCGGAGGGCGAGCTGATGATCGCATTTTCCCTTGTTGCTGAGTTCCTCCTAGAATAGAGCCAGGAGTAACTAGTAAGAGCCAGGAGTAAATAGTCCTTTCCTTAAGTGAAACCGGTCATAAGCACTTTAAGATGCAGCCGTGACCCTCCTTTGTGACGGGTCTGTGTCTCTGTGGCGTCCACGGTCCAGGAGGCAGCAAGGAGGTGCCAAGCGGGGTGGACACATCTCAGCCCTCCGTTCCTGCTCCAGCCACAGCAGCGTCCCTTCCATCTGCCGTCTGTATTAGGCTTCTTATTAGAGTTTAAGGCCAAGGTTGTGCTGCCTTTTTTAAAAAAAATTGTGGGAAAATATACATAAAATAAAGTTTACCATTTTAACCATTTTTAGATGTACAGTTCAGTTGCATCACATACATTCATGTTGTGGAACCATCAGTATTATCCATCTCCAGAACTTCATCTTCCCAAACTGAGATTCTGTATCCACTGAACACTAACTCCCCGTTCCTCCCTCCCCTCGGCCCCTGGCAACCACCTTTCTGTCTTCTGTCCCTGTGAATTTGACTCCTCTAAGCATCTCATATAAGTGGCATCATAGGACATTTGTCTTTTTGTAGCTAGCCTATTTCACTTACCATAATGTTGTAGGATGTGTCGTAATTTTAAGGCTGAATAATACTCTATTGTATGTATACAGATCGTTTTGTTTATCCATTCATCCGTCGATGGACACTTGGTTTCCTCGTTTGGCTGTTGTGAATAATGCTGCTGTGAACGTGGGTGTTCGGTTACCTGAGTCCCTGCTTTCACTTTTTTTGGATATATACCCAGAGTAGAGTTGTTGGGTGACATGCTAATGCTGTTTAATATTTTGAGGAGCCACCATCCTGTTTTCTGCAGCAGCTGCACCGTTTTACATTCCCACCAGCAGTGATCAAGGGTTCCAGTTTCACCACATTTTCACCAACATTTGTTTGTGTTTTGGAAATTCAAGAACACATTTAAAAAAAATTATTTTTTTGGCTTTAACTTCTTTTTTTTTTTTACCAACACTTGTTAATTTCTGCTTTTTAAAAAATAATAGCCACCCGAATGAGTGTGAAGTGGTATGTCATTGCAGTTATGTATTTCCCACGTTTAGTGATGCTGAGCATCTTTTTAAGTGCTCCTTACTGGCCAGATATAGATCTTCTTCAAACAAATGTCTATTTAAGTCCCTTGGCCATTTTCAAATTAGGTTGTATGTTTGTTGTTGCTGTTTGTGCTGCTTTCTCAAAGCTTGAAAACCGTGCTCTAGTGTGGCAGATGGGTCGCTGAGCGCTGGCTGTGTACCGGGAACTGAATGCTGAGGGATTAGCAGGGAATAAAACAGACAGACACCCCTGCCTACGGGGAGCTTGCGTTCCTTGAAGGAGACAAGCAGTGAAAATGTGTAGCGGGGCAGACAGACGCTATGGCGGAAAACAAAGCAGGGAAGCAGGAATCATGGGAGGTGTGAGGTTTGGTTAAAGAGGTGTCAGAAGGGGCCCTTTGGGTGAGGACCCGAAAGGGCCGCTCTTGGAGGGAAGAGCCTTCTAACGCCCTCGGCAGCTGCAAAGCCCCCGGGGCGGGAACAGGCACGCGGTTCTCCGGAATCCGCCAGGAGACCCACGTGGCTGGAGCGGGCTTAGGAGAGCCTGAATTGCAGGCGACCTTGTCAGAAAGGTAATGACAGGGGAGCAAGGCAATCCAGCAGGACCTCAGGGCCGTTCTCAGGGCTTTGGCTGCTACTCTGAATGAACAATTTGCTGGCAGAGGGAACTGAATACACTGCTTAAGAGAGACGAGCGACTTTATTCCCACCTAAAGACACCCCCTGACTCCTGTATGGTGGCACGTAGGTAAGGGTAGTGGCAGACTGGGGCCCAGGGCAAGAAGACATGTTCAGGAGGTAAGTTAGCTGGACCTGCTGCTTTCCCCCTGTGAGTCTCCGCCTTCACTCAGCAAACGTGTACTGAGCTCTGAGTCCACAGCCTGGGCCTTGGGGATAAGGAGGTGAACGCAGTGGAGTTCCAGTCGGCGTACAGCGGAGTTGGAGAGGGAGAAAGAGTCGATAAGCACCACAGTGGAAGGAGTTTTAGGAGGAAGATTAAAAAAAAAAGTCCAGTTTGGAAGCCTAACTCAGATTGATGGCTGGTGGTTTGGGAAACAACAGAGCACGGGGGCTGGGTCAGATGAGGGAAGGCTTCCTGGAGAATGAGACATTTGAGCTGTCATGTTGAAAAGTGAGTAGGAATTAGCCAAGAAATTTCCTGACCGAGGGAATGGGCGTGTGTAAAGGTGGCCTGGCGTGAGAGCACATGGGGCATGTCTTCTAGTGTTTCAGAGTATGTGTCGTCGCTGGGAGGGTGACGAGGCGGGAGCAGCAAGCAGGTGTCACATACAAGAGCCATTTAACACCCTAGTAAGCTGGAATTTTAACCACATGACTTTATTGGGGTTTTTTGGGGGGGGGTAATTAGGTTTATTTACTTTTATTTTTTTTTTAGATTGAACCCAGAACCTCATGCATGCTAAGCATGAGCTCTACCATTGAGCTATTACCCTATCGAACCATGCAACTTTAGACAAGGGCATGATGGAATCCCAATAGTGGGGAGTCTGACTTGGGAAGACAAGGGGAGCAAACCTAGAGGCTGGCTCATGCAGGAATCTGGGTGAGAAGTGATGAAAGCTTGAAATAAGGCAGTGATGAGAGCAGGGGACAGGCTCAGAAGAGATGGTGCGAGAGATACCAAGGAGGTGACCAGGTGACCAGCTGCGTAGGACGGGAAGGAGTAGGAAATGCCAGATTTCAGCCACTGGGTGCTGGTCCTTGAAAGTGGACCCCTGAAACAGGCTCAGGTTTGAAGATGAGGGGATGGGCAGAAATGGTGACCTGAGTTTTGAGGATTCTAACTTTCCAGGGGGAGTGCTTTGTAGAAGTTAGAAATAAGGGTTTGACA